AAGGGAGCCCAAAAACAACTTGGAGACGAACAATGGAGAGTGACCTGAATGCAGCATCTCTGACATGGAAAACTGCACTGAAGATTGCACAAGACAGGAAAGCATGGAAAATCCTCTCTGAAGCCTCATGTGCCACTAGGCTTAAAGAGAATTGATGATGATGATGATGATATCCTTTATGAGACGTTGCAGAACCAACCCCAGCATTTTTTTTTTTTTGGCTGTTGTGGTTTTTCTAGGCAAACTTTACATTTAAAAGTTTGTCATTGCTACTGAACGGTCAGCTGTTGGCACCACTATTGAAGCAAATGCAAGATAAATCATCCGCAGCTGAGATCAAACCTGGCACCTCAGCATTACCCCGGTAACACCAATGCATTAGGAATAAAGCCTACTGCGAAGACTGCCAGACCAGAAAGTCCAAAAGGTGGTGAAAACAGTGGTGACTACAGTCACGCCAATACCAAGAAACTAATCCAGTGAACTGTGACTAAGGCTTAATGAAATGGGGAAGCAGAATAACTTGTACAAAACACACAAATCCACATTTCAGCCGGGGTTTTTCTTAGCATGAACTGATTCTACAACAGTAACAAAGTGGAGAGTACTCCAACCACCAGCGCCAACCAGATAAGAGAGGCAGTGCAGAAAGTAAATTTAGTAAAACTGAGTTGAGTCAAGAATTGACATTACAGCACTTGGGGCATTCCCATGCATGCTCGGTCCTCATCTTCAGCTGCCAGCGCAGATTTCCAATACTGATGGTACCGGTCACAATCTGGTTATATGTCCGTCTTGCCTTTCCTCTGAGTGTAGTGAGCCAGCCAGACCCTCTGTTCACATCTAAGTACCTCATTCTCTCCAGGCCATAATAATGTTGTTTTTTCTCTAGTTATTCCATTGCTTGTTGCCAAAGGGCCTTGACCACATCTGCCTTGTCATGTATCAATTCACTACTCAGTGGTGCAGATCCAGGCAATCTGTTAAAAACATGGTAATTTTAATACTCTACATATTATTCATGCATGTGTCTAGTATTAGGTTATTTTCAAGTTGTTTTAATACTATACCTTTTTATGTTTGTCTTTAGAATTTTCACAAGAGGAAGAAGAATCACCTCCCCCAGCTCTACCCCCTCGAAGTATTAGAGCTGACCTGGAAGACAGCCATCTATCTCTTGCCAGCGATACAACAGATGAGAGTTCTGTGAATCTTTCCAAAGGTGGTGCCAAGTACTCAGCCACTGAAGCTCAGCCTCAGAAAACCGATAAAACAGGAGACGAGATAATTAGTTCAAGCCCCAAAGAACAAAAGTATATGGAAAAGATGGCAAAGAGTGCCCTTATACAGAAAGTAGCTCAAGGGTTAGGATTTGGCAAATCATTTAGGAAACCAAAGATTCCTGAAACTACTGTTGTCACTGATGTTTCAGAGAAAACACATGATGATGATTTAGGAAATGTTAATGCTAAGACCAACTCTGATCATGTCAAGAAATTGGTAGCGGAAATAAAGACTGATGACCTGGTTGACAATGCAGTTGTGCAAGAAACTGAAGAGCCCATTGATAAAGCTGTACCAGCTACAGAGGTGTCTAATTCTTCAACTCCACCTGAAGATCGCCCTCTTTCAGAAGTCAGTCAGCAGAGCTCCAACAGTGAGCAGGAGGGAAACAGTTCAGAGCTTGAACCTCAGAACATTGAAGACATTGTGAGCTCTGGCACTGACACTGAACCTGAGGAAGATAAGGAAGAAATTTATGTAAGTATCTTAAATGTTTAAAAGTCTATGGTTAAGCACCAGCAAGGAGATCAAAATTAGAATTTTGAGAGCATGCATCTTCCCTGTGGCTACTTACGGATGAGAGTCCTGGACTATCTCTCAGTCCTTGAGAAAGAGAATAGGGGCTTTTGAGCTGAAATGTTATAGAAAGATTCTCAGAATATCTTGGACAAAGAAGATGAGAAATATTGACATCTTAAAAGACCCTAACATCAAGAAAGATTGGCTAATAAACGGCATCCTTTCTCGAAAGCTGAAATATTTTGATCATATCAAGTGCCACGACGGATTGGAAAAAATTATAGCAGAAGGCATGGTACCAAGAAGGAGGGGCAGGGTCCGACCGACACAAAGATGGGCACAGGATATAAGTGATTCCTTGAATGTGAAAGTGCATTAGCCAAGAGAACTGGCGAGAGACCAAGTTTCTTTCAGGCAGACTGGTGATGAGAGCGACGTTCTGCAAAGGACCTGCTACATGATGATGATGATGATCTTAAATGTATGACAGTTTACTTCAAATGGGAATTCAGGACAGGTGAAGAATTCAGAGAAATGTCTGGGCAACCATTAGCATCAACAGTGATTAGTGATTAGAAAGGATTATTATAACAGAACTCCAGACAGATCCATAGGTGCTCTGATCTCCTCCTTAAAAGCTCCACAAGTGTAAAACGACTGATGACGCCTGTTCTGTGTTGGTTAATGAAACGTCTTGTCCCCTTAGTAAAATGTTTATTTCTTGCAGCCCCCCCCCCCCCCCCCCCCCCCCCCCCCCCCCCCCCCCCCCCATGTTGATCAGTCTAGACAGGGATACGGAGTCATGTCCTTTGGCATTAACAGTTATAAGAGGGAGAAGGTGGTGCTATATTGGACATATTCTGAGACAAGAGAGAGCTCCCAAACAGGCATTGAAATGGGAAACTGAGGAATTGAGGAAATAAGGACGTCGAAGAGAAACCCTAAAGTCAACATTGATGAGATATACCAAAGCTGCTGGACTGGATTCTATCCATGATATTGAAGTGATTGCACATCATAGAACAGAATAGAGAAACAATAGACTGCAAGTCCTATCTGACACATAATGACACAGTCGGAGAATGAATGCAGAAATCGTAACTGTATTTTTTGTGAATGGGAGAAGGAAACCATGGTAGCTCGCCTGCAGGTCCAAAATGTCTGGGGTTTAAATCCAAATTGGAGCAGATTGTTTTAAAAGTATAGGTCTAGCACTATGTGCCCAAAGAGCCAAAAAGAATCCTTCACTTATATACGAGTTGCATTGGTAGTACAACTGTACATGTCTGTAAATACTTTATCGTCATCATCGTTATCCAATTTCGCCGTTTATGTACCTCGTTAGGTTTTTGGCCACGTAATGAGAAGAGAGACATTGGAAAACATCGTGACAACTGGAAAGATCAGTGGAAAGAGGGGTAGGGGCAGACCAGAAGAGATGGTGGTAGATGGGCTGAAACGATGGCATCGAGGGATATCATCAAGAGAGCTGTTCCAGGCAACCAGGGATCGCGATCTGTGGAGAGGCATGAGCACCTATGCTAACTGACAGGGCACATGATGATGAAGAAGGCTCATAGTCTATTCCTCCACTCTGTTCTGTTCTGCACAGTATTGTTGATATCATACACCAGGGTTATTCAACTGGCGGCCCGCAGGCCAAATCTGGCCCGCGGAGGGCTAGCAATTGGCCCGCAGATCATTGTCAGTTGTATTGTATTAATGATTGTTCTACGTTAAGGTTTAGCCCTCTGGCCCATGACGATCCTCATTTTCCAGATTTTGGCTCGTCTGTAAACTTAGTTGAATAGCCCTGTCATACATCGAATCCAGTCCAGCACTTTTTGACTCCTTATCAACTTTCCTAAGAGTTTCTGTTTTTAGCATCCTTGTTTCAACAACTTATTTGTTCACATTTCACTACCTGTTTAGTGTTTCTGTTTCACTTTCTCTTGATGTGCCCAGTATATTACCATCCTCTTTGTCTTATAATTGTTAATACCAGCCGTTGTCTAGATGTTTCTTTTAGTTCCTCGCCTTTCTTGAACTCGCCCAGTAAATTCTATAATGTGCATAAATAAAAACAAGATACAGTGTAAATATTTCACAGTCACTAAAGTAGAATGTCTAAGCTATTGAAAATAAATGTTACAGAAAATTCTTGTCAGGGTTTACTTAACTCTTTATCTCTTTAGCTCTCATTTACATCTTGTCAGGGTTTACTTAACTCTTTATCTCTTTAGCTCTCATATACATCTTGTCAGGGTTTACTTAACTCTTTATCTCTTTAGCTCTCATATACATCTTGTCAGGGTTTTTATTTGTTTACATGTTTAACTCTCATTTGCATCTTGTCACTGTCTCTATTTGTTTATATCTTTAACTCTCATTTACAGCTTGTCACGATTTTATTCATTTATATCTTTAACTCTCAATTACATTGTGTCAAGGTTTTTTTCCCTTTATATCTTTAACACTCGTTTACATCTTGTCACTGTCTATATTTTTTTTTTATATCTTTAACTCTCATTTGAAACTTGTCAAGGTCATCTTGTCATGACTTTATTCATCTTGTCATTATTTTATTCATCTTGTCATTATTTTATTCATCTTGTCATTATTTTATTCAACTTGTCATTATTTTATTCATCTTGTCATTATTTTATTCATCTTGTCATTATTTTACTCTTTTATCTATGTAATATGTATATCTTGTCATAGTTTTGTTCATTGTTGTCTATGTCATGACTGTATTGATCTTGTCGTGATTTTATTTTTATTTTCATTAATTTATTCATCTTGTCCTGGTTTTATTCATCTTGTCCTGATTCATCTTGTCATGATTTTTTTTTCATCTTGTCATGATTGTATTCATCTTGTCAGGATTGTATTCATCTTGTCAAGATTGTATTCATCTTGTCAGGATTGTATTCATCTTGTCAGAATTGTATTCCTCTTGTCAAGATTGTATTCATCTTGTCCTGATTCATCTTGTCATTATTTTTTTTTCCATCTTGTCAGGGTTGTATTCATCTTGTCAGGATTGTATTCATCTTGTCATGATTGTATTCATCCTGTCATGATTTTATTCATCCTGTCATGATGTTATTCATCCTGTCATGATTTTATTCATCCTGTCATGATTGTATTCATCTTGTCATGATTGTATTCATTTGTCTCTGGTACCAGGCTATAAGGAAGGCCAAGAAAGTTTTCTTCATAGCCAAGGAAATTGCATCATCAGAAAATACGTTTGTGGATGTCTTGAAGCTGCTCAATTTGGTAATTCTAATTTTTGGATATTTACTGTTATTCAAAATAACTTGGTGTGCTTTTAATAAGGCATGTAGATGAGATGAATTGATGCATCACATGCTAGATATGGCCAAGAACCTTTGGGAGCAAATTAACAATGAGGAGGCTTAGCTGGGAGTGGCCTGGAAATCTGGCCAACACTCAGAGGAAGGGCAAGAGGGACATAGAATCAGACTGCAGCTTTTACCATCATAATTAAAACTCTTTACTGACTGCTGAAGATTGGGACATAGCACTTGTGGAAATATTCTTAGGGCTGTAATATTGATTCTTTATTCACCTCAACTCAGCATTCCAAGTGACTACTTACTTTTAAACTGTTTAAATTCTTGACTGCAATAAAGGAAAATTGCTTGATAAAAAACAATTTTAATCGCTGTCACATTCTTAAATATTATGTAACAATGGCAGTTGTACCAAAGAGATCAAGACAGGAATTGATGTAGCAACAACCACAATGTCCCAGCTGAATACAACGTGCAAAAGCAAAATCATCTTTGCAGTTAAGGTCAATATATACAGATCACAAATGTGGTCTTTTTTCTTATACGGATGGTGGAAATGGAAAGACGGATTCAGGCTTTCAAAATGTAAATGGTATAGATGCATTTTACGAATTAGCTATTTAGAACATAAAACTAACAGATATGTCAGAGACAAAATATACAGATTTGCAGGACATCAAGAACCTCTTGTGGCAATCATGAAACATCAAAAGATAGCTTGGTTTAGGCACGTGGTGAGACATGATTCCGTTGCAAAGAAACATTGAGGAGTAGTGGAAGAAGAAGAAGAAGACAAAGAAGAATGACAACATCAAGAAGTGGACAGGACTAAGTCATTAGACACTGTTCATCAAGGGAAGTACAGAGAAAGATGCCAGGTTTTGTGTGTCAGTGCTTCCGTCGATACACCTCCACGACCCTAATTGGTCAAGGGTTACGTTATGTTAAACGCCTATGGTGTACTATTACAACCTTGCATAGTCTCTCCCAGTATATTCCTGCCAGTGACTCCCAACATTATATCTGTGTTTTTTTTTTTTAACTTGCTAAGTTCCAGCAGTGTAAAATTAGGTCCTAATAATGTTTCCATAAATATCCAACAGGGTAGATGGTGAGGAAGAGAGCTGGTCAACCTATAACAAATCATGATCTATTATAGTATGTTATGGAAGTGTCTGACTTGAAACTGCCTCTATCTTCTATTATGTGGAGGAGTGATTGGGGAGGGGGGGAGTTCTAATTTTTTTTTTTTTAAATATCAAGAAACCATGAGTTGTTAACCCTTTGGCTTGGTACTATATATATAGGGCAACCCTTCGGCCTTGATTCCATGATAGGTACCGTAAATCTGGGAGAAAATGTGGCTTTTCTGCCTACCCCCGGGAGTGAACCCGGACAACAAGAAGTTCGTCACCCAGTCACCATGCAGTCCGGTTTAGCCAACTACACTAGAGATCCTGGCAAGAGTTGTAAGTTTAACACTTAATATCTAGCTAACTTGATACACTAGAATTTTTTTTTTTAAAGTTCTCTCTCTAAAGTCTGCATTATGATTCTGTCCCACCATTTAATTCCTCCACTTATGCGCAGGCACTAGCTAAGTAGTATGCATTACACACTTAAGTATTAAATTACTTTCATCATATTTTAAACGTCATAGGTGATACTTTTCCAGGATTTCAGGCTTCACATCTCTAAACTGACAGAGACATTGGGCCACCCGGTTGTACCTACTGAGACACTGAATAAAATTCTGGACTATTTACCTCAACTGCAAAATTTCAATGAAGATTTGCTGAAAGATTTGAAGGAGCGGATTGAGAACTGGTAAGTAACTCAGACTGGGCAATGAGATAACGATAGAAAGAAGTTTAGAATTGGTGATTGTTTTAACACTAGTATGTGGGTTTTTTTTTGTGTGTAATTGTTTTTTTTTTTTTTTCAAGTAAAGGACATTTTTCTCGGCCTCGATGGTTGATATTGTCAGCATCATGCAAGCCGCATCTACCTCCCGGATCATTACTTAGTACCAGTGGCGCGGTGATATATGTCACAGGCGTGCCTTGGTTAAAAGACTGCGGAGTAAAGAGAACATTGTTCACTGCACATCCTCTGTTAACCCTCAGTGTCGTCATCACTGCGCTGAGGTACACCACAACAGCAACCATCCATAGGCTGGCCATCCATGTACATCCTCGGTTAACCCTCAGTGTCGTCGTCACTGCGCTGAGGTACACCACAACAGCAACCATCCATAGGCTGATCATTCATGTACATCCTCGGTTAACCCTCAGTGTCGTCGTCACCACGCTGAGGTACACCACAACAGCAACCAACCATCGGATGGCTAAGCCTAATTGTCCGACAAAACTAGATCATACGGATCAAAATCTGACCATCAAAATGTGTATTGAACTGAAAAAGACCGAATGTCCACACCCAAAGACCCCACTCACCCGAGTGTTGGGACAAAACTGATAACGATATGCCTGATGCAGGATGTAAAATTCTGTCGGGCTAACGGCTCGTCAAAGAAATCTAACGTGCGAGAAAAAAAAAAGAATGTACCTATCTGTGTGGTCACAAAAGTCCAAAACCCACGGGCTGCTCCCCGCTGACTTCCAGAGTTCGCAGCCCCTGTCGAGCGGGAGGCCTGATACGGTTGTGAGGTTTAGCAGGACGTGACGATTCCTTGGGTGAGCCCAGAACCAGAGCGCCATGTGCCGGCTCTGCATGCATGGAAGCCTCCTTGGATGGCGGGGAATGCCCATGATCTGCCCCTGCCTTCCCTTGAGGGCTAACTGTTCCACAGGGGGCTGCCCCAAAGGGGTACTCCGAGGGCAATACCTGCGGCGAAGGGGACATAGTGGACACCACACAAATCAGGCAACGTCACGACCCACACAAAACAATGGCCACAGTCAACCTAGAAATAGGCCTGACATCTTCCTTCGAAGTCGGAGTACAGCTGCCCATGAGGAAGGGAAATGAAAAACGGTTGTACACGCAAAAATCAGGTCCAGGTGAAAGCCAAAAGTCCAAGCGGACGATTAACCGGGACCTTCCACTGGAATTCACAGCCGGTGATCGATAAAAAAAAAAAAAAATTACTTAGTACCAATTTTTAGGCAGGGTCAACATGGAAGCTGAGATAAATTTTGGAACCGCGGCTCCCATGTCTGATATTAATAAATAAAATATAAAGCACTTATATCAAAGTTTTGTCTGCCGCTCCAGCGTAGTTGATAGTCAGTTGGATGTCAGTCTGCAATCCCCATAGTTAATAGTGCCTTGGACGTCAGTTGGCAATCCCTTTAGTTAATAGTGCCTTGGACGTCAGTTGGCAATCCCTTTAGTTAATAGTGCCTTGGACGTCAGTTGGCAATCCCTTTAGTTAAAAGTGCCTTGGACGTCAGTTGGCAATCCCTTTAGTTAAAATTGCCTTGGACGTCAGTTGGCAATCCCTTTAGTTAAAAGTGCCTTGGACGTCAGTTGGCAATCCCTTTAGTTAATAGTGCCTTGGACATCAGTTGGCAATCCCTTTAGTTAATAGTGCCTTGGACATCAGTTGGCAATCCCTTTAGTTAATAGTGCCTTGGACATCAGTTGGCAATCTCCTTAGTTAATTGTGCCTTGGACATCAGTTGCCAATCCCCATGCGTGTCCAGTCTCGGGTTCAAGCCAGTGGATGGCAGAAAAGTCGCATACTCCCCAGATTAATGGTGTACATGGCACCGAGGCTGAAGGTCTTGGATGCTTACAACACTGAGCCAAATGAGCTATGCTCAAGTGCTTCTGGTTTAAAAGAAACCCCCCCAAAAATCTACATTTTGAAGCTCATGGCACAAGTCCCTCTTTCTTCGATTCCTTAATTTTTTTTTTTTTTTGTACAAGATGATATGCTTTCCCAGTTTTTTTTTTTTTTTCAGATTGGGGTTCATCTTATACATGAAATGTGTTTAAAATATTCCTCTCCTTTTTTTGGGCTAAAAAATAGAGGTAATCTTATACATGAGGGTGTCTTATTTACTCAGTAAGTGTTGTGGTCAATATTACTTGTTGGGGCCGCATTAGCGCAGTCGATAGGAGACTCGCTTTCAAATCCAGCTGTGACTCGCCCACGGCTGGTGTTCGAAACTGGACAGTTCCCGCGGTTTACCCAGCCTCTAGGAAATGGGTAACACTCTAGGGTAAATGGAGGAACGTCGCTGTAGCTACAGAGTTTCAGGCGGACAGTTTCTTATCAGCTGTCTGTACTGGTGGCAGAGTATTGATGGTTTAAAAACACGTGCAGTGACGCTGGTTCACATCTTCCAAATATACCTTTTTATTTAATTACTTGTTTGTCCGTTTTTACACCCTAACACATCAGTCGGACCCATGCATGCTCTGTCCTACGATGCAGTAGCCATCTCAATATCTTCATGCTAAACATGCCCAGTGGGAGTTGATTGGCATATCGTGTGTTTTTTTTTTTTGGGGGGGGGGGGGGGGGAAGGGGGGTTTTTGCCCTACAACCTGCGTGTCTTTGTTTAACATCTGTCTCTGACTCCTTGTCTCAGTGGTCATTATCACACAGCAAAGAACAAACAATAATTGTTTTTCTTCAGATATGACACTGTGATCTTTCTGCAAACTTAAAAAGAATCTGCCACCTGTGACTACAGAGCAGATTTTGTAACATGCACTGCAGGATTGCACTGTCTGCTCTCAGCCGAGGCAGGAGATCTGCCTCAAGGGATCTACATTGAAAGATGAGCTATAAAGGACTGGTAGTGACTCTAGATGCACCATCCTGATAATGATCTGTACAGGTCACTAAATGTTTAGCATGGCTGATGAAAACAATAGAAAAAAGTCAACTTTGCTTCCTATAATATTTTTAGGCTAGATATTAGCTTAGTTTTAGCACACTTTTACATGAGATTTAAATCTGTCACTGTCACAGATATACCATAGAATTAGCATATGGTTACTTTTTAGCTTTTTAAAGCCAACCATATGATAATTCTATGGTATATCTGCTTTCAGAGTGCATAGAGAGTACAGCTACGTTGGTTTTTTGCAGTCAGTAATTTTACAACAACGGGTATAGAGCGTGTGGAAGACCTCGGAAAATATGGAGTGATGGCATTAAGAACAGCCTTACAGAAATGAACATCAGTCTTAATAGTGCTCTTGACAGAGTTTATCAACGAACGTTACATCTCCCCCCTGGCACTTCGATGAGATACAAGGTGGAAGAGAAGAAGAAGAAGAAGAAGTAATTTCACATCCAAATCTTATTTCAAGCCCATGCTGTGTGGCGTTGGTAGTCATGTCTATCCACAACCTTCTTTCTCATGTTTCTTCAATCAACTCTGACACAGAACCAATGAGCGATGATCCTCCATGCCATGATGTCAGACTATCCAGTATCTTTCCTATCGGTCTTTCTCTGCCTCTCCTTCCCTCCAACTTTGCTACTGTCACGATGCACTCCAGTTTTCTCCTTCTCATCACATGACCAAAGCATTTCACTAAACTAAGTTTTCTCAGATCACAGTTTTTGAAACTTGAGGAGAATAAAGTGTGTGCAGGATGTATCAGATATTTTCTATGTATTACTGAAATCAGCAACTGCTTCATGACACATTTGTATTACAGTGTTGATATATGATATACTATTGTCTCGCAAATAATCTATACCTTTACTGATTTTTTAAAAATTCTCATTGCCAGGGAGACCAACCCCAGACTTGCTGACATTTTTGTGAAGAAAGGACCTTTCCTTAAACTCTATTCTTCATACATTCGCAATTTTGAAAATGCAACTGCTACTTTGGAAGATGTAACAAAGAAGAATCCTGCATTTGCATCAGCTTTAAGGGAGTTTGAGGTTAGTTGCACATGTTGCACAACATATATGTTCTTTTTTTTTTCTCTCCTAACGTCAGTTTTTCATGTTTACAAATGAGGGTTTGTATTCTAAATATTTATAACACCAGCTAGTTGATGTTTCAAAAGTATGATGCTCTATAGGGATGCTTTGAAGTAAAAGAATAATAATTTTGTGTTATTTGTATGTTGCTTTCTGTCAAACTTTTATTGTATGTTAATAATGCCTTGTAGTAAAAATAATAATCTTAAAGTAATGTTTCCCTGTTGTAAATTTGAACAAAGAGGTTACAGATAACAGATCAGCTTATTCCAGTATGTGCATACTGCAGAATTAAATGAGGTAAAGCAAGTAAGCGGGCCTTGCCTCTTGCGTTGGTTTTGACAGTGGTATCGAGATGCAGAGCGTCTAGAAAGCAATGGCAAACTACTGGGCGTAAACATGCCTAGAAAACCACAACAGCCAAAAAATGCTGGGGTTGGTTCTGCAACATCCTGTAAAGGATACGCAACTAACTAACTAAAGCAAGTAAATGAATCCTACCTGAAGTACACACACAACACTTAAATATAACCGCGTGTTTTATTTTCAGGGTAAATGCAATTTTACAACAGTGATTCTTTTTTTTTTTTTTTTGGTCTGCTCAGAACTGGATATCCCAGTCAGTGCCAGGCAACTTGTCACACATTTGTTACTTTAAACTACATGATATTCTTCCTAACTCCTTTTCGAATATCCAGTTTTTATTTTTAAAGGCTAACTGGCACTCTGTGGATTATGTGGTCAGCATTATGGCTTTACTTTCTGTGTTTTTACTTGCTACACTTCTTAATCTTGGTCAACCTTGGAGCCAACTGGTCCTCGATTGTTGCTTAAATTTTCTGAAAATCAGAGCAATATTTTGTTGTTGAAAATGATTCTTTTTTTGCTTAATTTTATGTAATTGTTACCATAATATGCTTCTAAAGAGATACAGCAAAATATACTAGGCAACAAATTGTGCAATCTGTTGTTTGTCTTCTTCTTCAGATTTAAATGTTCTGTCCCATAGACTTTTTTATGTTAACTCCTTAGATTCACACTATTACTTCAAGAAGCAATTTCATAGTACAGGGGAAATATACAAGGTCTGACAATTAAGTCATGAGACTAATTCCATAACAATTAAAATAATAAACAGTTGAAGATATAATCTGTATCTGATTCAAAGTAAGCCCCTTGTGTGTTGATACAGCAAGTGGCACGATCTAACAAATACTGGAACGGCGTCTGTAGTTCTTCTGTTGTTATGGCCCTTAATGTAAATTTTACGGCCCTTTTGGATGTCATCAATATCGTTAAAGAAGCTTCCTTTCAATCGTAACTTTAATTTTGGGAATAGAAAATTATCACAGGGAGACAAATCTGGGGAATAGGGTGGAAGGCTGAGAACACACACTTGTATTTGGGCCACAAAATTTTGTTTGAGGATGTCTCAACCCATTGATGCTTTTGGTCATCAGACAACAAATGTAATACAAATTGGCAAACAACCTTTTTTTTTTTCCAAATGTTATGAATGGTCTCTCTATTAACACCAGATTCATCTGCCATCATCCTCACATAAAACAATGATCTTCTTGTATCCGTTCTCTGACTTTTGCAATGAGTTCATCATTACTAACAGAAGTTTGGCTTCCAGGTCTAGGTGCATTAGTAATCATTTCTACACCACTTTTGAATCGTGAATACCACCTGAAAATGTGTGCACGAGATAAACAATTTTCCCCATAAACTTGTTGCATCAATTCAATTGTTTCAATGGCCCTTTTTCTGAGTTTTAAAAAGAATGTAATGTTAGCTTTTTGCACCGTGCTGATTAGGTAAAAATGCACATCTGACTAGGTCAGCAAAATGGTGGCTTGTTTGTTGTCTGTTTATCGAGCGGCTATGAAAAGTTGCCAGATCATAGGTGAATGTTGCCTCTTTAGATTCCAGGCTTTGCTTCATATATGGTTTTTTTGTCTTGGCCTTAATTAAATCAGTCTCATTACTTAATTGTCAGACCTTGTAAAACTGGCGGCCCAGGTGCCGAATCTGGACCCTTGAGGCTTAGCAAGTGGCCCGCTGATCACTACCAACTGTACTGTGCAGGGGCTCTAGTCTCTGGCCTGTGTTTATCCCCATTTACAACATTGTGGTCCCTCAGTCAAGTTAGCTGAATAGCCTTGTCATCAAATATACTGTTAAAGTAACATCAGCTTAGTGCTGAGTGGTATTTTGCATTCTGTTTGTGTGTTCTTTGTTCATGTTTACAGGAAGGTAACATAGCTTTACAACTTTCACCATAAGAATCTTTAAAAAAAAATGAGCTTCTTTTAATTTTTTTATTGTTATTTTTTTTTTGGTGTGCTATTGATCCTTCTAATAGTAGGTATGTAGTTGTACCCCACCAGGACATCACACAAGCGATAAACAACTGGTGACACAGAGTCCCACCATGCCGATGAGGATCAACCGTGGAGAGGTCCCAGAAACCCTTTAAGCCGTTAGGCCATATCTATGGTTAGGCCATATCTATGCCCAGGCTATATTCAGGGCACCCCGGCAGAATCTAGGGTGGGACTTTAAATGTAAAAAAAAAATTCTATCTCAGACGGGTACAGACTTAATCCTTCTAATTTGCAAAAGAAAAAATTTAAACTTCTTATCATTTTTTCCCCCTTAAATATCCAGGGAATCAAACTCTTAGACCACAGAAAAGACAGGCAGGCTTAAAGTCCTCTGCTGCTTTGATGACCTCATGTCACTTTTTTTAAAAAGTTATGTATTCTCTGAATGTCTAAATTGGGGAAAGGTTTACAACTGTGCGAAGGGAAATAATCACTAAAATGAAACAGAGCAAAGAATTAACTGATTTCTTCCCTTTGACCTTAAATAAATAGTTACTTTGCCATAGAGAGCAATGAGACATAGTAGATAAATTCTATAACATCACAACGAATCCACAGTTTTGTTTATAAATGGGTGTTGGAACTGTACATCTTGATGGGGTACAAAATAGAACAGAAATAAGTGAAATATTTCCGCTGCATTAAAAGACATGACACTTTTTTAAAGCATAGTAATTGTAGTTTTCATCCCCTTGTGGGATGCAATTTTTAGTATTGTTGAAGCTCTACACCCTGGCTTTTGCCAGGGGCCCTAAATATGGCCTGTCGGCTGAACGGGGTTTCTGGGACCTCTCCACAGGTGATCCTCATCCGTGTGGTGGCACTTTGTGTCAGCAGGTGTTTATCGCTTGTGTGATGTCATGGTGGATTACAATGCCTACCTACCTACCTCAATCTATATTGGATGGAGAAGTCCGTGGCAAGAGGTAGACAATGATGCAAGTGGAAGGGCAACATCAAGTGATGGACGAACAGCAGTCTGAGAGATTTTACAACCAAGACAATGGACAGAGAATATTGGAAATCCATTTCAGCCAACCTTCCCTGTGAAGAGGGTACCTGATTGATTGATGGGATGTGAGTTGGTGTTCATATCTGCTAATAATTTTGGTTTGTTTGTCCCCTCAGCTGAGTCCTAGATGTGCTAAACTGGCCCTGAAGCACTATATGCTGAAGCCCATACAGAGGATACCTCAGTACAAGCTGCTGCTGCAGGGTGTGTTCTATACAACAGCATGTTCTGGGTCAAGTTTGCTTGTTTTAGGTCAAGATTGCATGTTATGGGCCAAGATTGCATGTTTTTGAGGTCAAGATTGCATGTTTTTGGGGTCAAGATTGCATGTTTTGGGTCAAGATTGCATGTTTTATTAACTCTTTTTGTTTCAAGGAAATCGCCATACATTTTTATATATGGAACGCACTTCTGTCCTATCACATTCTTCACTTATCCTAATCCCTGATTTTTCAATTGTTATTATAACACCTTACGCGCACCGTCGATCAAAAGGTCGTGGGTTCGCTCCCTGGTGGCGCCGGACTTTTCTTCAAAAAATGACCTTGGCTCCCAGGTCGACCCAGCCTTGAGTGGGTACCGTGTGCAGTCCCGGGAAGTAAAGGCGGCCGGCGTGATGCTGGCCACATCACCCATCTTGTCTCGTTGGTCTATAAAATATAGGTCTAGCCCTATATGCCCTATACGCCTAAAGGCGTGGAAAGGGTCCTTTACTTTACTTACTTTTACTTATTATAACACCTTCTCTCTGAAAGCTGCATTTTTCAACTCTATGAGACCCAGCAATTGTTGCTTTAGGAAATACAATTTTAAGTATAGACACTGTTGAATTCAGCGCTGTCTGGGATCAAAAGAGTTAAACATGTAGTTTCTGTTGGGTTAAAATAAGGAACTTTATCCTTTCCGTACTAAGCAGATGTTAAATTAGGTAATTCTTTTCTAAGAATTTATTATTTTACGTAATCAGTGTTTGGATCTTGGGAGTTAAACACTTTACCATAGAAGGAGTTTAAGTAAAAATTGAGATTGAGTGTTTGGGTGGCTGTAACAAATGGATCGGTCACAAGGAGTTTAGAAAAGTAGACATTCTCAGTTTAAACCAACAAATGCCAGAAGAGCTAGAAACAGAACCTTATATCTCCCTTGACACCCACAGCGGTAAAAGAGGAAGTGAAGAAGAAGAATGCATGATGAATAGCTTGGTTCTAAATAAGATAACAGGGGACTTACATATTTATTGAATGATACATGTGGTATATCTGTTGACTTACTTAGGAACGAACTGATATTCTTTCCCAACTCTTCCATTACCAGGGCTGTGGGCCCTAGATCTTCCTTTTACTTATAAGGATAAAAACATAGGTCTCTTCTGTATGTTATATTTAGCACTTGAGATCATGAAGTCGAAGGTGTGGTTTTTTTTCTTTCTCGCAGAGTGCATGTTTTTGAAGTACCAGCACTTATATATTTTTTTTTAATCATTTGTTAAAGGCCTCATTATTTTTCCTTGCTACTGTATTACATACTTTGTCATGAGTACCGACAACTATTCAAGACACTTTGTTATGAGTACCGGCAACTTTTTAAGACACTTTGTCATGAGTACTGGCAACTATTCAAGACACTTTGTTATGAGTACCGGCAACTTTTAAAGACATTTTGTCATGAATACTGGCAACTATTCAAAACACTTTGTTATGAGTACCGACAACTATTCAAGACACTTTGTTATGAGTACCGACAACTTTTTAAGACACTTTGTCATGAGTAATGGCAACTATTCAAGACACTTTGTTATGAGTATCGGCATCTTTTTAAGACATTTTGTCATGAATACTGGTAACTATTCAAAACACTTTGTTATGAGTACTGACAACTTTTTAAGACACTTTGTCGTGAGTACTGGCAACTATTCAAGACACTTTGTTATGAGTACCGGCAACTTTTTAAAGCTACCGTTGCTTTTTAGCTCTCGCATCCATACACATGTGGTATCTTAAAATATAAGGACAACTTTTAAAGTTTTAGATTTATCTGAGTACACTTCGATATGGGCACCAATGTTGTTGCTCTGGTGATGTCTAGACAGTATTCAGCCTTCTACATCTTTTAAATTATATCTAGAGTTACAGTTGCAGTTGCCGCAGTGACCCTCTCTTTGAGGTGCCTAATATTCTTTATCTTCTTAGCATCATATCTCCAGCCTCATGGCCACACAAGGTCACAAAAAACTTGAAACAAACTTTTCGGAACATTTTAAGATGTCACATATGTATATATACACTGAATACGTCTTTTATAATAACAATTTAACATCCCAGCACTCATTCTTGATGACCATTTATTAAGGCATATCAAAATTTGTCTTCTTGGAAACTTTCATACACATCTAATTACGTTGTTATTATAAAGGGTGGGGCATTGAGGGCTAGACATCTGCCTGCTGATCGGAAGGCCGTGGGTTCGAGTCCTGATGGAGATGGAATTGTTTTTTTTTTTTTCAAAAATGGCCTTGACTCTCAGGTCCACCCAGCCTTGAGTGGGTACCAGGTGCAGTCCTAGGAAGTAAAAGCAGCTGGTATGATACTGACTACATCACCCACCAAGTGCCCATTTGTCTATAGAAATATAGGTTCTAACTCTACATTCCTAATAAGCCTAAATGCGTGGAAAAGGGACCTTAACTTTTTTTTTTTTTTTTTAAACTTTTTTGTTTTATAAAGAAGTCTCCAAGTAAAATGGGCAAGATATTTACCTCACACTCTTGAATGGTGTTTTTTTTTTTTTTACTTCATGGTTTAGTTTACTAGTGGAATTTGTTTTCCGAGAAGACTCTGTAAATCATTGTTGGAACTTAGAAGTTGGATTTGTAGGATGCTGCAGGCAGACTACCATCATTTCTTGAAAGAGAATGAGCCATATACTATAAAACCCAGTGCAGTTTAGTAGAACATCCCACCTTTAAACACTTTAAAATATTATTGTTATTATAACATAATTTATTTAATACTTGTGGGACGTTTATTCTTCTGCTTCATGTTCCAGGTCTGGAGCAGAAGTCAATAAACATGACATATCAATCCTCTTTTCCTTGTTTGTTTTGATTATAAAATAATAAATCTTCAAGATTTGTTATCAGATTAATACAAATTGAAAATCAAATTTAACTTAAAGGTTTAATATATGGGTACAGCTCATGAATCTCACCCCATCTCGCTCACTTGCTTGATTTCATATTCATTCCCATGGGCTGTCCTATGTTCTAGGGTTGCCAGATATGCTTTTTTTTCAATGTTTTAAGCACATCCACCACCCAACGATAGCTACCGCCAACAAGCATAGAAATACAACAACATAAATGATTTGACTCTCACCAACCATTGTGCCTTCAGTGCTTCCCCGTGCAGGACTTTATCCTTGCACATAAGGGTCTGCCGCACCTGAGCTACTCACAACAACAACATATTCCAGAAACGACAGTCGTTCACAGAAGGATAGTTGCTACAAGAAAGCTACACTGTTTCATCTGGGAGACAGTTTGTCAATCAAGTGGAACAAGCGCCAGCCAGTTTTCACCACGGTGTGTATCGACTGGAAGAAAGGCATCTCAAAACACCTCTAGAACATAGGACAGCCCATGGGAATAGTCTGAAATCTTGCGCCTGAACAAGATGGGGTGACTTCCGTGAATGGTACCAACATATGCTCTAAAAAATTAAAAATGGAAACATTAAAAACATTATAATATTATAGATATTTGATAAAATTATATAAAAATATAAAACACGTATAGCATATGAATTCAGGACATGTGATAATAATGCTATAAAGTTTGTGGTGCAATTTTGAAAGCTCACAAGTGTATACTCATTATTGACAAACTTTTTTCAGATTATTTGAAGCAACTTACAGAAGTATCCCCAGACTACAAGGATACAGTCAGTGAGTTTTTGTTTGTTTTTCATATGTTTGTTTTACATTCATACACATGTTTTATATGCTGCAGTAATCTCAAGACTTAAAAAATTGTTTTTCAAAGTCCTACCCGCTTACAACAGTCAGTGTGGTCAAAAATGATATCATTGCAACAGTCAGTGTGGTCAAGTATAGTATCTGTGCAACAGTCATTGTGGTCAAATATGGTATCTGTGCAGCAGTCATTGTGGTCAAATATGGTATCAGTGCAACAGTCATTGTGGTCAAGTATAGTATCTGTGCAACAGTCATTGTGGTCAAATATGGTATCTGTGCAACAGTCATTGTGGTCAAATATGGTATCAGTGCAACAGTCAGTGTTGTCAAGAAGAGTATCTGTGCAACAGTCATTGTGGTCAAATATGGTATCAGTGCACAGTGAAATTCATACTAGGGACAGCTTTGCAGATATAGACAATTTATTTCATGCGAACGAAAGAAGAAGAAGAAGGTATCAGTGCAACTTTATTTGTTTTTGTTGTAAATTTAGTGTTGTGTTCTACATTTCTGTCTGTTGTAGACAGAAACACAACACAGTAATTTCCGTGTTTACCTTTTCATCTGTGGCTATTTATCTCATCCTAATCCTTTTGTACCTTACAGTGTCCAGGTGAAGTATCATTTACGGGAAAGAGCCCGTTTGTGTGCTTTGTAAATTGGGATTCCCAGGGACTCTGTAACTCCCTCTGTCCGTATCGCACATGATCAACCTCTTCTATGCTTCCCGCCGGGTCTGTACCTATGGTAAACTTTCTGCTGACGTCTGCCTTATGTGGTCAAACTATTTCACCTGTTGTTTTCTGATGAAGTCCAGTACTTTTACCCATATGAAATAGTTTTGTTTCTTTGAGTAGTGAAAGTAATGCTATTCATCATCTAAATTAAATAACAGTTGACATTTTATTCATCTTGACCTGTAGCTGGGAAAAAAAGGACACAAAAGATTCCATTAATAGTTGATATTTTTGTTATCACTGTCTACAGCTGCCTTGAACATTGTCAGTGAAGTTGCAGACCACGCCAATGACAGTATGAGACATGGGGTAGTTATCTTATCTGTTAAATTATTTTGTCTTGTTTGTATATAATTCTGTGTATAGTTCTGTGTATAATTGTGTATAAGCTGAAATATTCGGCAAGGCACTTGATGATGATGTTGTGGATTTTCCTTATCATCTTCTTAATTATTGTATTCATCCCCACATTCTTTTCTCTTCTCCCTTTCTTTAGTTTTTCCTCATCTCCTCTTGGTACATCTATTTTTCTTTTCTTCCCCCTCTTTCTCTTCATCCTACATTTTTTTTTTTTAAATCTCCTTTTCACACTTGTTAATTTTTTCTCTCCTCATTTTATTTGTTAAAACTACTCACAGATCTTCACAGCACCCACCGAGTGGAGGTGATTGGTCTATAAAATATACGTCTAACCTTATAAGCCCAGTGTGCTTAAAGGCGAGGAAAAAGAACCTTTTACTTACAGATTCTGTTTTTTTTTCCTGCTTCTATTTTCTTCTCATTATACATATTTTTTTCCTTTTCTTAGTTTCATCATCAAAGGGCTCCACCGTTTGGGGCCTGAGCTTTGTTGCTGAAGCTTTGTTGCCAAATCTTTGTTGCCGAAGCTTTGTTGCTGAAACTTTGTTGCTGAAACTTATATTTTAAATGTGGTGTCTGATTTTTGTTTTGTTTTTATGCTTAATGAATGTACTGACTAATGAATATGCTAGAATATTTAGAGGGTTTTGTTGACATTTGACAAGGTTTAGTGGACCATAGCTCAGTCAAATATTTTAAATTAGTATAAAATAAATTAGCTGCTTATGCTCAGGATGTTGTAAACATCCCAGCATTTGTTGGCTGTAGCTGGGTCTCACAAGGCAATTTCACATTCAGTGGTTTGCCATTGCTTTCGTGTATGACACTCATACCATTGCCGTTCTGGTCCCCTCAGTTGTCCCAGCACCCTGCCAGTGATGGTATCCCCCTCTTTTAGTCTTTCTTCTTCTTTCCTCACCCCTGGAATGTCTCTGGCATCAGGGCAGGAAGAGATCTCTGGAACTGGCCCTTCCGTTTGCTTCGTATAAAATACTTTTCGTGTCTCTGATATTTCTGCTGTCCATCTTCTAACTGATCGGCATCTGGCTCTGTTACCGTTGCATCTATATAACATTGGTCTCTGTGGTGTCCTGTCTGATGCCAATCTTGTTACCTGGCCAAACCATTTGATCTGTTGTCCACCTATAAAGTTCAGTATTGGTTCTGTGCTGACTCCCCTCCTGTTATCATCGATTCCTAATTCGATCTTTCCTCGTTACACCTAGCATAGTACGTAAACATTTCATTTAAGTCTTTAACAATGTTTACTCCAGTTGTTTCTTTAGCCCCCTTCTGGTTAAGGCCCTCATTTTTCTTTGAATCAGGTTTTGGAGTAAACACTGTTTGAGAAATGTCTCACGAGTATCCGTACATAGGAGAAATAAACATACACCACTGGTTTGATCAGCAGTTTCCACGTGCTTGGATCGGTGAGTGCGATCCTGTGGAGTAGGTTCCCAGACCTCACCCCACGTGATTTATATCTTTGGGGGTATTTGTAGGCAATGGTGTATCAGGAGAAGATTTAAAACATAAATCCTCTCAAAGATGGTATCATTAGCACCATTGCAAGCAGTCGTTAATGTATATTACCTGTTAGCAGACATTTATGAGTTACTAGTTGACTGTATACCTGCCTCAGGTCGACCCAGCCTTGAGTGGGTACCGGGTGTAGTTCCAGGAAGTAAAGGCGGCCGGCTTGATGCTGACCACATCACCCATCTTGCGCCGATTGGTCTTTAAAATATAGGTCTATCCCTATATGCCCTATACACCTAAAGGCGTGGAAAAGGGTCGTTTTCTTACTTTACTTTGTAAACCTGCATGAAATGGTTAAGTTGTTTGCCACAGAATCTGAAGATTACGGGTTCAGTTTTAGGCTCCACCCTTTATGGCCTAGGCTTTGTTGCTGAAACTAGTTTTGGGCTTTATGCAACATTCTCAGTAGACTAGTGGACTACCAATAGCTCTGCAGAGAGAGGCTAAGCCATACTAGATCAAACCTGATCTATTGAAGTGGGTCTTCTGACCTTATAGACACCTTTTACTTGCATTTCTATGAAGTGGGTTTTCTGACCTTATAGACACCATTTACTTGCATTTCTATGAAGTGGGTCTTCTGACCTTATAGACACCATTTACTTGCATTTCTATGAAGTGGGTTTTCTGACTTTATAGACACCTTTTACTTGCATTTCTATGAAGTGGATCTTCTGACCGTATAGACACCTTTTGCTTGCATTTCTATGAAGTGGGTCTTCTGACCTTATAGACACCATTTACTTGCATGGTCTTCTGACCTTATAGACATTATTTACTTGCATTTTCATTTCTGTTATTGGTTTTTCTTTCAATGCAGGACAATGTCCAGAAGCTTCTAGAAGTTCAGAAATCATTGATAGGGCAGTTTGAGGTTATACAGCCTGGTCGGGTGAGTATAATGAATATATTTGACTTAGTTATTGTGATCTTGCTGGAAAATTAAAAAAATAATATATTCTACACCAAGCCAGTTTATAATATACTGAATATAAGTGCGGGCAGATGTTGTTATTTATTTTCTTGTCTTATTGTTATCATAGAAATCAAATAGTGTAGTGTGGGTATTGAAGCAGATGCAAGTTAACTGTCATTAAAATCTTAGATAAGCAAAGAGTGTACGCATACTATCATTTATTATGTACGTATATATGTGTCAGTATGTGTGCATGCATGTAACAATATTACTGATATGAACCACCATTACTTTTATAATCATATTGCCCTGTAAGAGAACACGTATGATTTCCAAGGAGCAAATGGATCACCACAGTCTGGTGAGATTGATGCAGCAGGGAGTGACGAGGGGACTTAGCCGATTCTCAAAGTTCAAAAGAAAGGCAAGATGGGCTTATAATCAGAATACTACTAGCACCATTGATTTTATAACTCTGCCCTGGTTGCTGAAGATAGGAGCGGAGCGCTTATGGGAATTCAATGAATGCTGTGATGTCGGTTTTTAAATCAACTAAACTCATCAGCTGTGCTTTTATAAATCATCCTTAATGATATGAACCATTGTCACTTTTATGAACCCCCAGTGCTGATAAGAACTTTCATTACTGATATGAACTGTCCATCTGATTGATGCTAGGTTCTAGTGAAACAAGGGGAACTGCTCAAATTGTCCAGGAAGGAAATGCAGCCAAGAATGTTCTTTCTTGTAAGTAATAGTGTTCTATCTCCTATGTTCTTTCTTGTAAGTAATAGTGTTCTATCTCCTATGTTCTTTATTGTAAGTAATAGTGTTCTATCTCCTATGTTCTTTCTTGTAATTAATAGTGTTCTGTCTCCTATGTTCTTTATTGTAAGTAATAGTGTTCTATCTCCTATGTTCTTTCTTGTAAGTAAATGTATTCTATCTCTTCATTGTGTTCATTCAACTCCTGTCAGTACATTTATTCTAGCTTTTATATTAGGGTCTTTAATTCCTTTAAGTACATTTTTTCTAATGTCTTCATATTGTGTTTATTAAATTCTTATATATTTTATGCGGTATATTAGTAGTACACTTATGTAATATACATAGGAATTCAGTCCTGTAGGAGTCGTATCAATAATCTTTGGCCAGCGAAATCTAGACTTCTCACTGTACATGAATTTGAAAACAGCTGTCATGACTGCTAGTGGTTACTGCTTTTTAGAGGTGGTGCTTTGAGCCATATCAAGTGCCACAGCTGACCAGAAAATGGCATCAGAAGGCATGGTACAAGGAAAAGGGGGCAGGGGCTGACCAGCGTGAAGATGGGCACAGAATATTATAAGTAACACCTTGGGCAGAACGTGCATGAGATGGGAGGGCTGACGAGTGACTAAGTTTCTTTTAGGTAAATCATGATAAGAGGTTCTGCAAAGGATCTGCTAATAAATTAATTCAGTGAACTGTGACTAAATAGCTTAACGAAAGGGGAAGCAGAACAGCGTGCACAAAACACACACTTTGATATTTTGGCAGGGGCCTTTTTCAACAGGAACTAACTACACTACAATAACAAAGGGGAAAGTACTCCCACCACCATGGGGGTCAAGAAGCTATAAAAAAATAGGTGACATGGAATGAATAAAATAAATAAAGGAAGTCTAAAAAACAGTCATAAAAGTAATAGTGATAATATAAAATATTAGTATATAATAATAGCCAGCCTGCCTGTCTGTCTGTCTGTCTGTCTGTCTTGACCTGAGAATTTAGGCCCTCGTGGCTAGTACAGGCCCCATGGATTATACTGGTTCAGATTTAATTTTTTGTTTGAATCTAGGTTTCCTGAATGAGAGCTCTCCACGTGTGGGTTCCGGGGCCCCATTGCGGGGAAAACTAGAACAGACCCACTGCCTCCCCAACTAGCATGTCGAAGGAGTCAGCTCATTAGGGACCTCCTTCAAAGTCAGAGTGCATCTGGCTGAGCGGAAAGGAACAACCAGTTGCACACAAATAAGCAAGTAAAAGGGATGTACATGCAAAACTCAGGTCCTGGCACAAAGCTTTAATGGATGACCAAACAAGACTTTCTGCCAGAGTTAACAGTCGGTGAACAAAAAAACAAAACAACAACAAAAATGAGAGCTCAGCATTTTTAACTGCTCGGCCAACCACTGTTCAGTGTGTATGTGTATAATTGTGTTAAAATTTAGTTAGGCAGTAAGTTTGGTAAAGGTCCCTTTTCCACGCCTTTAGGCGTATTGGGAATATAGGGCTAGACCAGTAGGCACTTAGTGGGTGATGTGGTCAGCATCATGCCGGCCGCCTTTACTTTCCAGGACTGCACCTGGTACCCACACTTGGGTCGACCTGGGAGTCCAGATCATTTTTGAAAAAAATTCAGACTCTGTCAAGACGCGAACCCACAATCTTCCGATCCACAGATGGGCATCTAGCCTCCAATGCCACGGCGACTCCTTAGTTAGACAGTAGCTACATAAATAAAGTCTTAATCTTATGAAAGTAAAGTACTGGCAGTAAGCAGTTGAATGAGGCATTGGGCGGAAGCTGCAGAAATGTACCTTTGCAGAAAAATGATAAAACACAATGAACAGATAAAAACCTAACGAAGATGTCTGGAAAGAAATTATCTCACAACGAGAACTCATTACTCAGCAGCACTAGAATAAATGAACGCTTGTACTTTTTACATTCCTACACATGTTCCGTCTCCTTCCTGAGTAGCCAACAAAGAGTCGACGTACAAATAGTACCTGTTACAACCTGAATAAAAGTTCACCACTCTTTTCCCCATCAGTGCTCAATATCTTCCCACCCCCCCCCCCCTCCTTTTTGAATTAGACTTTCAATGTATGGATTCGCTGTCTCTTCTGTTGCATGGTCCATTTGATCCCATAGGTATCCCATCAGTAAAAAAACAGTCTCATTTATTTTGGGTAGTGGGGTGTGGATGTCATTTAAAAGGGGAAACTGGAGTACACCATGGCCACAAGAAAGTTGTTGGCGAGGAAGAGGAAGCAGGAGAATATCAAGAGAGAGGATTTTGGCTAATGTGGCATCAAGGTGTGACAGAATTGGTAGTACATAATTCACATACCTCTGGTCAATATGGTAGATAGGAAGGTCTACAGTTTTTTAATCCATACAAGTTTTTGCTTGTGACAAAAGTTAGTAATTACAATTTCCTTCATATATAGGACAGGCTATACTTCCATCACCCAGCAATTGAGTTGCATGTATGGTGCGACACTGTGAGCTGCAGATTTAATTTGGAATGCTTTTAGAGTGCCTAACAAGCTTGTGTGGTGAACTGCATATTTAAAAAAAAATGGCAAATGGCCTATTGCCATAGAACTAGGCAGCTTTATATTCAGTAGTTTGCCATTCCACTGAACAGTCAACACACTTACCATTGTTAGTATCAACATAAAGGGAACTGCTACCAAATCACATGCTCTGAATTGACCTCAGTATGTTGAATTGTGAAACTACATTCATTACTCATAAGTGACAGATTTTGATAAAAAGGAAGATAGCTAGACTAAAAGATATAAGAGAGGGGATTATGATTAAGTAACTGAGCCACAGTGGAAAAAGGGGGGCGGGGGGGGGCAATGGCTAGACTGTATGGTATATTTTCATCCAAGAAAAAGAGATTTGATTATGAATAAGTAACTGTAAGCCCCAAAAAATGGTAAAAAGAAGATAGCTAGAAAGATATATTTACATCCAAGAAAAAGATATCTGATTATCAATAAGTAACTGTAAGCCCCAGACAATGGTAAAAAGAAGATAGCTTGACTATAAGATATATTTTCATCCAAGAAAATGAGATCTGATTATCAGTGTGTAGCTGTGTTCCCTTCTACAGTTTAATGATGTGCTCTTGTACACAACGCCAGCTACTTCAGGCTACAGAATCAACAATATATTACCTCTGACTGCAATGAAGGTGAGAATATCATTTATTATCTAGTAAAGTCAAGGTAAAGTCAGGAGATGTGAACCAGTGTCATTGCACACGATTATAAACCTTAAGTGCTCTGCCATCAGTACAGACAGCTGATAAGAAACTGTTGGCCTGTGTCGCCGTCCGCACATAACTCTGTAGCTACAGCGACGTTCCTTCATTTACCCCAGAGTGTCACTCTGGTACCTATTTCCTAGAGGCTGGGTGAACCCCGGGAACTGCCTGGTTTCTAACACTGACTGTGGCTGCAGCAAGTCGCAGCTGGATTTGAAAGCAAGCCTCCTATCGACTGCGCTTACGTGGCTCCCTTATTAATTATCTAGTGACAGCTTCCATGGTTCAGGTTAAAGTTGAAAGGATCGATTTCATTGCACAAGGTTTTATCCCATATTGTTTAGACTTTCTCCACAGCTCATTTAGCAACATGCCGAGAACCTCGCACAAAGCATGAACACAGGAACTTCAGTGATGTTTACAAGGGGCGTTCGTAAAAATTGCACTCATGAACTGAACAATACAACCATGAATTGAACTTATAACCTTAAGGGAGCAAGGCAAACGGCTTGGCCACATAGACCCCAGAAATATTGGGCTTTTCTGGGATTTGAACCTGGAGCCTCTCACACCCTAAGCAAGAATCGTACCTCTAGGCCAACAAACCATTGTCTGGTTTAGGCATGTTACATACCATGCCACCATGTCAAAGGTAAACCTCTAGGGAATATTGGAGGGTAAATGGAGACAAATATGCAGAGAAAATCCTTATCTCCTGATATTTAACAAATTAACAAAATGCAGTTGTTTCCACTTTTATGCATGTTGCTGAGGACAGGGAACATTAGAGGACTCTGATTTCTGATGTTTATGTTATAACATTCCTACAACCTATGTCCAAGTTTACGAGATGGGATGACACATTGACTTTATGTTACCTTACCTTTTTTTTTTTCTTTAACTGTTCCTTTTAATTTATTGGCCAGTCTGGCCATCCTCCAAATAACGGTCCTAAATTATGGAGGCTAGGAAAATACTCTATGCCTCATACATATGTAAATTGCTGACTCCTTTCTGGCGAAAACACCAGGGGCAGGCGGCAAATCACGTGACTAGTCCCTTCTGCGTAACGCTGCGTCCATGTCAGTTGCATGCATAACCCTTCTGACAGATTCTGGTGGAGGTGTCGTAATTGTAACACTTATTGCCCTAACCCTAAACCTAAACCTAGGACCGAGGGGAGAAGTTAGACCTAGTGTTGTATGTAGATTGGTTGGGGGGGGGGGGGGGGGGTTGCAACATTGGTTAGGACATTGTGGTGCAACTGGTGGATTCGCGAGTCCACTGGAATGTCTGGTGACCTGAGTGAATATTTTGGGGCAGTGTTGACCTAAACCAGGAGATGTCAGTTCGGCTTGAGTCAGTATAATAAGTCGGTGTTGACTTAGGGCCGGAGGGACCAGTTGGTTCACGAAGTGTCAGCCTATTGCAGGGTGAGTTATCATACTTAGTGGGTGGATAGCAACCGTCGCACAAAAAATATGGGTTTCTCAATGAAGGGGAATCACACATAACAGGAGCATCTTATGTCACACACAAGAGCACAGGGACAGGCATGTGTATATACTGAGGTTGAGTTCCGTTGAGAGGAAGAGCTCGAACAGTTGAGTTGAAAGCATTCGAGGCCGAAACACTCATGAGAGACTGGTCTAGAGGACAGTCAAGAGTGCAGTCCAAGGAAGAGGAGTCTAGTTGACAGAGTTGGGGCCAAGAGAGCTGGACTACTTCAAGAAGAAGCTGTCTTGAGTGATGAGGCGTGTGTGGGTGATCATAATCAGTGAAATAAGACAGCAGAGATGCCGGCAACATCTGTGTGCTGAAGAGGACTCAAAGCTGGGATTTTTGCCGGTCATCAGGGGTTCTTTGACCAGGCTGATGTGCTGCGTGCACATTCACAAGATTAAGTATTGTGAAGTTTTCCAGTCAGCCGATGTGACAGTGTCTGCTATGCATAGAGCAACGGAGGTCAAGTAGAGTAGGAGATGTAATCTGTTCATCCTTACAGGGAGCCCTGAAGTAAGGGTAGCTAGAGACCTAGGCACTGTAGCGAGAAAGCGCCGCTAAACCAGTTTGATTGAGCGAAGCGTGGGACATTCATTTCATGATTAGCCAGTGATGTGAATGATTGCTTCTCTTGCCTTATTCTTTGTGCGGGTTTGTGTGTACCCAATCGTTGTTGTGAAATAAAATTTGCATAAATGTCGGAAAAATGTCGTTGAGTTTTCCGGACATTTTGTTCAACAGTTTGGAGTGTGAATTATATCCAGGACACTTGGTCGTGTGCTGTCTTCCCACCTTAGCACACAACACCGAGGACCCAGGGTTGAAGTTAAACCTAGGACCCAGAGTAGAAGTTAAACCTAGGACCCAGAGGAGAAGTTAAACCGAGGACCCAGGGTAGAAGTTAAACCGAGGACCCAGGGTAGAAGTTAAACCGAGGACCCAGAGGAGAAGTTAAACCTAGGACCCAGGGTTGAAGTTAAACCTAGGACCCAGAGTAGAAGTTAAACCTAGGACCCAGAGGAGAAGTTAAACCGAGGACCCAGGGTAGAAGTTAAACCGAGGACCCAGGGTAGAAGTTAAACCGAGGACCCAGAGGAGAAGTTAAACCTAGGACCCAGAGTAGAAGTTAAACCGAGGACCCAGAGGAGAAGTTAAACCGAGGACCCAGCGAAGAAGTTAAACCTAGGACCCAGAGTAGAAGTTAAACCTAGGACCCAGAGGAGAAGTTAAACCTAGGACCCAGAGGAGAAGTTAAACCTAGGACCCAGGGGAGAAGTTAAACCTAGGACCCAGAGGAGAAGTTAAACCTAGGACCCAGAGGAGAAGTTAAACCTAGGACCCAGGGTAGAAGTTGAACCTAGGACTCAGGGTAGAAGTTAAACCTAAGTCCAAGGGTAGACGTTAAACCTAGGACCCAGAGGAGAAGCTAAACTTAGGACCCAGAGGAGGTTAAACCTAGAACCCAGAGGAGGTTAAACCTGGGACCCAGAGGAGAAGCTAAACTTAGGACCCAGAGGAGGTTAAACCTAGGACCCAGGGTAGAAGTTAAACCTAGGACCCAGGGTAGAAGTTAAACCTAGGACTCAGGGTAGAAGTTAAACCTAAGTCCCAGGGTAGACATTAAACCTAGGACACAGAGGAGAAGCTAAACTTAGGACCCAGAGGAGGTTAAACCTAGGACCCAGAGGAGAAGTTAAACCTAGGACCCAGAGGAGAAGTTAAACCTAGGACCCAGAGGAGAAGCTAAAATTAGGACCCAGAGGAGGGTAAACCTAGGACCCAGAGGAGAAGTTAAACCTAGGACCCAGA